AGATGCTTAACTGAAAATAATCAAGTTACTATTTTCTCTTAAATAAAAGGTTGTTATTACGCATGATTAACTAACTATATTTTATTTCAATTTCATTGATTAAATTGTAATAACAAGAGAGCCTAGTAACGAATGTGAAAAGAAATGGTGTTCAGGAAATCGTTAAAATTTTAGGTAGAACGAATAGTTACTATAACACATTTTTGGTGAAGTATCGAAAAATTTTCACCAAGATGAAAAGTGAAGAAAAAAAATGAATGAGTGAAATAGAACTAGAGTTAAATAATCAGTATCACTTTACTCTTTTAAAGTGTAAAATACGATTGCAAAGGTAGTATGAAGGTTTTTTAAGGAGGAACACAAATACTACATTGAATGAATGTACAGAAGATTTAATTTTCTTTGAAAACAAAGACATACTGTAATTAACGAGAACACCAGTGAGAATAACCAAATGTATATCAACACAAAATTAAAGAATCCCTTGGTAAAATCTGAGAACCATACAATAAATACTTCATTTGAAAAATGTCAATTAATTGTCTCAGACTTGATTGTTCCTTTGTTTCCACACTTATCATTCTTTGTTCTTGTTCACTTTCCTTAGATCTTCTCAACCTTCTGCCGCAAGGCATTTTACTTTCGGTTGATGATACATACTACTTATACCTGTCGCCATCAGTAGCGCATATCACACTACAACACATCACTAATTGACGAAACAAATAATTATTTACGTAATCATCGTTAACATTATAAATGAAATGCACCCATGTACAACTTTTTAATCATGAGTGTAATCGGGATTTTTTATTTATCATAATGGGTAAAAATGACAACTCTTGATTGATATCTGTCGTTTGGGGTATGAATTTAGACTTACTGAAGTTCGGCCATGAAACGCCTATTTACAAATATAAGTTGATCCGATACAACGAACAATTTACGTGCAAGTCTTCAAATTGTAAAACTTACTCTATATCAGTGAACAGTAGGTTTCAGTTAATAACTTAAATGCAAAGCGCCCATTCACACTGAAGTAGTTGGTAAATTAAACTATTATCCAAGTGATCTTGTCCCTAAAAATTTCATGAAGATGTTGAAATTCACCAAACTTATTCATAGATAGATATCGACTAAACCTCTTGTGTATGTAATACCGAGAGGAAGTGTGACTGAGTTCAATAAACGAGCATCATTTCAGTTGTTGCCCGGATAGCATGGCGGTAACATTGCTGACTCTGAAGCCGGATGATATTGGGTTGAATCTGTAGTGGCTGGTACTATATCAAGCCCATATAGGTTATTCTAACTTCTAGACAGACCAATCTATTCATTCATCTTAAGGCACAGTTTTATCTTGTCACTTATTCGCCTGTCAACCATGACTGTTTGTTAGGTGAGTGCATATGTGTGCATTTCTTACCTTATTTATCGCATGTCTGTAGCTTATTTTTGTCTGACTATAAATATTGAGTCACGCTTGGTTAAACTGAGTTGGCTAACAAGTCTTCTCCAAACCGTTTCACTTTGCTCTCTCCTCTTCACTTCCTTCACTTCATCTCTGATTGTCTGTTCTGATCAACGATTATACAAAATATACGTACTCAAAACTTCATTCTCGTATTTGACTTATTTTAATCCCATTATTCACTAACGCGAATTAAGTCGATGATTATTTACGAGTATTGGCGGCATGTATATAATCTATGACAATCATAAATCGATTTAAATAGAATCACTAAAAATTTACCAGGGCACATTAGTACCATTAAATTTACAGGTATAACTTGCTAATAAGTGCCAAGCAACAAAATGTCTATGTCAAGGATTTCCTATCGACTACTTCCAACCACCACCTTACATCCCAACATAGTGCACGTGATGTCGAGTCACTTAGACTAGTGGACACACTGCTATTCGATCGATGGTATTCGATTAATACTAAGAAGGACTAAAAATATATTATACTAGTTATTATTTAGTGGTCAATTAGTTGTAACATTGACATGTATTGTAAGTCTGAAACAGTAAGTGTACATCAAGATATCTAGTCACTTAGACTGGATCATCACATTGCAACATGATTAACATCATTCAACTATCACCAACAGTTATACCATATAACATCACTTAAGCCCCAGTAACTAACCTGTGAATAATGTTCGTATAATCTATGAAGTCTTTAAATAATGAACATATTCGGATGGGATGTTTTTTCTATTATCATATACTATTGTTTTAGAGTATTAAATAACCAATTAGAAAAAAAATCTGTATAGTTTTATTCACTTTCTATTGTGAATTAGTTCTAATGACAAAATTGTGGCGGTTGAGAAAAAATGGTCACTATTTTTTGTTTTGTTTCTTTCTTTTTTTTTCTTTTTCATCATCAAAACTTTTGTTGTTTAATTTCTTTGTTAAGTCAATTATCTAATAAATACAAAACTTGTCAAACAGATAATAATTCTCTTATTTCATTTATTGTTACCTTTTATTTTGTTTGTTTTAATCATTATTATTCTTACTCATTAAAAAAACAAAACAATTTCCTATCTATTTAAACATTTGACATTGAATAATAGAGAAATGAAATGTAATTAGTAAATTAAAACTTTATTGCTTTAATTATTTCAATAAAGAACAAATGGTAAATGGTGGTTTTCATGTTATCTTGTTATTAAAACAACTAAATCTTTGATTAGGAAATAGATATAATGTTTTTGTTTTTTCTTAACATAGGATATGTTAACAGTAGGAAAAGAAAAAAAGCATCATAATATTTGACAGAAATCTAAAAATTTGTTATTGACTTAGATCTTGAACTGTCAACAATAAATAATCAATGGACTTTGTATGTATCATTACCAAGGTTTGATTTGATAATTTCGAATAAATTGAGCATTGGGTAGATTGTTATAAATAAATAGTATATTTGTAATATCCCAATGAGTAGAAAATTAGATTTTCTGACGTTTCGTGACTTAGTGTAAGTCACTTCATCAGAGAATCTAATTTTCTACTCATTGGGATATTACAAATATATTATTTATTTATAATCAATGGACTTGTTTTTTAGGTTAAAGTTAGGATATTTTTGAAACAGTGATAGACTACAGTGTAAAGTCATGCATGGAGGACAACTGAAAAACGCATTCTAAGTAAGGACAGGAGTCAGACAAGGCTGCTTACTCTCTCCCTTTTTCGCTCTTCTGGTGATCTATTGAATTATGAAGACCTCGATATCTGACGGGAAGCACGGAATGTAATGGTCAGGTTACATGCAACTAGATGATTCGAACTTCACAGAGGACTTAGTACTTCTATCCCATGCACATCAACAAATGCAGATGAAGACAACCAGTCCGCTAGGAGCCTATACATCAGTAGGCCTCAACATACACAAAGGAGGTAGCAGTATCTTCAAATACATCACGTGGAGCACCAAACCAGTCACACTTAATAGGGAAGCCCTGAAAGAGGTGGGAAGTTTCACTTATTTGGGTAGCATAATCAATGAACAAGGAGGATCTGATACAGACGTAAAGGTAAGGATTGGTAAAGCAATGGCTGCATTCCTACAGTCGAAGAACATATGAAACTCAAAACAACTGTCAATTAATATCAAAGTCACAATCTTCAATAAGAATGTCAAGACATTTCTACTATATGGAGCTGAAACTTCGAGAACTACCAAGATCATCACTAAACGAGTACAAATATTTATAAGCATCTGTCTATGTAAGACACCCAATGTCCGTTGACCAGATATAATCAACAACAGCCTATCGTGGGAGAGAACAATCCAGCTTTCATCTGAAGAGGCAATTAGGAAAATTCTTTGAAAGTGGATAAAACATACATTTCGGAAATCATCAAACTGCATTATGAGGTAAGCGCTAAATTGTAATCCTGAAGAGAAACGGAAAAGTGAAGGTTCGAAGAACACATGTCTCCAAAAATTGGAAGCAAACATGAAAGGGATTAATAGATACTGGAAAGGGTTGTCCAAGACAGATGAAGAATGGTCGTGAGCGGCCTATGCTTCTCGAGAAGGGGTAACAGGCGTAAGTAAGTAAGTAGGTAATATGGACACGAAAACATTTCAGAAATGGTTCTATTTCGAAAATGGGCTTCTGGTGATGGATTTTTATTCGTTTTATTCAGATTTCGTAAGTAGATGAAGATAACTAGTGATTTGAATGTAACTCATATTGTTTTAGTGGTCATACCCTTCTGACCATTTGCAACATATTTTTCTATCGAAACACCACATACAATAAATCCGAGTGACGAAAGAAGATAGGCAAATGCAAATCTATTTCACATAAAAAAAAGTTTAAAACCGTATCACTGATTTTTATAGACTTATTTAGTGTTCATTAATAGTTATCTGTTGAGTAAACTTTAGGTAAATGGTACTCATTGCTTAATAAACAATACCTTAACGACTCCTATTATACTGATTTTACTTAAGCCTCATATAAATGATACACGGGGTTACAGTAAGACATACAAAGTTCATACAGACCAACATAGGTAATATAATCATCACATTGGGAGCAATTTTTCACTTGTCATATTGGACAAAAGTTACACTGAATTAGTATGAGACATACTGACCTAAGACAATGTTACATTGGAAAAATATAAACTCAGTATCGTACTGACTAAAGTGTTACACTGAGGTTAAAAGCAATGTTAAAATGTTACTGAATAAAACTAACGTCATGACATGTTATAATGAGTAAGAGAATAATATGAAATTGCCTATTACTCTCAACTTATCAGTCTCTGATCAACTATTGTGGTAAGAGTAAAATCATCACAATCAATATGGATAACTGAATTACTTAATCGCTTCACTACAAGAAATATTATCGCCAACGAAATTTACGGTTCTGCCGATAATCGATTGAATATATAACAACGAATCATATATTTTGTCAAGAACAGTACATTACTTGGGTACACAAAGAAAAGTTTAACAATATAATATATCAAAGAGTATTTGCATAAAAAGAATGAATGAGTATATCTTGCACGTTTAGTCTGATCCTTATGTTTTCTAAGGTTTCGTCACTATTGATAAAATCCTTATGACTATTATTATTATTATTATTATTATTATTATTATTATTATTATTATTATTATTATTATTATTATTATTATTATTAGTAGTAGTAGTAGTAGTAGTAGTAGTAGTAGTAGTATTTAAGGTCAACATTTGTTATGGATTGATGACTAATCTTATTGTGTTGATCTGTCAATAAACCACAAATTGTATGAATAAAGCTTAACAAATGAACAATAACTGTAAATAGTTTGTTATTTAAAATATTTATATAATTCTGAATAAATAAAGGAAATTTAGAGGATAAACAAATGTGTACTCCCGTGGTTACACTTGAGCGTAGAAATTTATTTCTAAAAGACTGAAATAATGAGATATGAATAAACAAGTGGTTAGTGTAGAGAAAATTTTTAAAGCTTTAATGGTCAAATTCAATTAGAAGGTCACTCCTGATAACAATGAACTGACTGAAGAAGTGCAAGTCTCTTTTTACAAATTTTAATAGTAACAAAAATGCTCAGATGTAACATTGCTCTCTAAACTACTGAGTAATGTGAAATCAGGTTATTTAATCAACATCAATTCTCAAGATACTGCATTTACTTCTAGTCCACAAGAATACTATCAGATAAGATCAAACGTAAATTATAAACTTTGATAGTGCTGAAAATAGTATTCGACACAATCTGACACTGATTGGAGAATCACTGATAATCAGGAGTACTAGAAAGTTATTTTGTCCTAATATGCAAATCCTCGGTAGTGCTTACCCACAAGCCCAAGTAGTACTGTTTCTTAGACTTATTGATCTCACAGTGAGCTTATCACATTTTCACTTTGGAGTCGTAATCCAGTTGTTTATATCCCTAACTATGCTAGTTTTGTGCGATCCGATATAGAGTAATCTATAACTTTGTACCTCGCACTAGACTGGATTAACTTCGTGTATAAGAAATTCCTACCTGAATTAAGACTACCTTGAAATAGGATGCTAAAAAGTCCACTGAGTTCAACACAAGTCTCAGCAACAAGTTCAAAAAGCAGAATAACGAATGAATTTTTGTAGACAGTTTAGACAAGATTCAAGAAAAGGAGAGTAAGAAGATAGAGATTAACAACAACCGAACAAAAATAGAGAAAGTTAAGGCACACACCGATTGCACTGAAGCAAACAAGCAAGTGAAGGTAAGAGCTAGAGCTGACAAGCAGAAATACGTAGAAAAAGCTGCAACAGAAGGAAATATCAAACAACTATAGGACACAACGACGAAACTAGCAGGAAAATATTGTAAATCAAAAAGACCTGTCAAGGTCAAAGTAGGCAAACCAATCACTGAGACTGAAGGACAGTGGAACAGGTGGGTTGAGCACATTGAAGAACTCTTGAACAGACGAACCCCACTAAACCCATCGGACATTGAAGCAGCACACACAAACCTTTCTGTAGCTATCTGTACCAGGAGGAGTTTTCAACGGTATCGTTGAAGCGAGATTAAGAATCTGGGCTTACGTAACGACCGATCATGTACCAGGCAAGTGGTGACAGTAATGATTAGTTTTGAATGATCAGTTAAATGAAACTCGTCGATATGTGTCAACTTCTTTGTTTATGAGGAAGCATTTGACAAAATGGATAAGAGGACCTTGTGGAATAGAATCCAACACTATAGAGTACCAGATGAGATCGTCATCATCGTGCAGAACTCCTATGATGAACTAAACTGAGGAGTCATCCATGAATGGTAGCACACGTATCCATCCAAGTAGAGATTCGTATCAAATAAAACTGTGTATCCTCGCCTTTTCTTCTTCTTCAGGTTTTTGACTGGATTATGAAGACATCCCCATCTCAGAAAAGCACAAAATACAGTAAACACCTTGGAAACAACTGAATGATTTTAACTTTGCGGACGACTTATCCTTGTTATCCTACATAGTAACCAGTTCAGACGAGGGCTGATATGATAGCAGTAGCTTCCACAGAAGTAGGCCTCAACATCAACAAGCGAGAAAGCGAAACCCTCAAGCACAAACCAATGAGTAACAAGCAATTCACACCTGACGACGAGTGAGTGAGCACTGCTAAATAGTTCCTTACTAGGACGAACAAGTTGTCTGGTTTTTACTATTTACTTAACTAACACCATTCCATAATGCTAACTGTGATATTCATCAATCTCCACAACATTTTATAATATGTAACAATGAATTGTTTATACACCCTAAAATTCATTTTCTTCAATAAACCAATAAGATTCATAACCGTTGTAAATGTTACAGTGATTGGTTTAGAGATAGAAAAACCTGTTTTTCTCTCTCCCTATTCATCATTTAACCTTGAAATAAGCTTATAGTATTAAAGAGTCTGTAGAATGGGTAAATTTACATGCAAATTTATAAACACATACACAACACAAACTTTATTTCATTGAAATGAATTAGTGATAACAGTCTATTCCAGTTTCATATATCAGTGTAATTTATTACCTATATATATGTATATAACCTGAAATTCGTCTATTCTATAATATGTTTATATCATGAATTGTATCTGATATAAAAGTTCACACAAGTAAATAGATTGTGGACATACAAAATTATCGTAAATTTCTACTTAATCAAATCTATTCAATGAATAATCTTGAACACAATAATAAAGAATATTTGAATCCATTCAATTATAATGCAGTAAGTATTTTAATTATTCTTTTTTCTTATCATTTTACCAATTGAGATAATGAAGTGATGTTAGACCTAAAACATCGATCAATTCATGATCTCAATTAAAATTCAACAATCTCCACAACCCTATACTAAATTAATCAGTTGTTGCGTAGAATCACAGATTGTATGATTTCATTGATATGATGGATCAATTTTGTCAAGTTGTCAAGAAAGTTGAATTATTTATATGTATCAATAGTGTATTTCTATGCTTCATCTTTATTGCAGATATTAAATATTAGTTTAGACTATACATTACTTCAAAACTACTGATAACTTGAATTCAATTCTATCATTTTGTTTAATAAAATAGTCGATTTGTATCTTATGTAAAAGTGTCACTGTTCACCAGTGGTGAATTTTACCTGCTTACGTTAAGTTTAAAGTGATGAGACCGAAACAAGAACAAATATTAGGCTAAAACAACAAATTATATATTTTATGAAGAGAATCAGGATAAATGTATCTGAACCATAAGGACTGGCATTGTAAAATGATTGACTTTTACGAAAATTCAATGAAGCTCCTCTTAACTTCAAACAATTGTACCGTTCTTAATATTCTTCTATGGAACATTTTCATTACTATTTTTGTTACTACCACCGTTATTAAATTGACGTAGCTTATCTGTACTTCACAGAATACCAACTAATACTCATGCATATGACACAATTACCTAAATAATCATTGATATGTTAAAAGACTTGGATAAAACCTAGCAGTGTATTATACTCTTCCTAATGAAAATTTATTTATTTCCAGTATAATTGAAAAAATATGAAGTTAAGACCGTAAACACCTCGATCTTAGCCCATTTATTTCAAACTGCCCATAAAGCCAACGACAATCAGTTGTTAAAAATGGTCTTATACGTTATTAGTGATTGATTAGAATAGTTAGGTGTAGAGTCCTCCAAATGAAAGAAGCAAAAGTTATAGGGGTTGAAATTCGAAACTCTATTCAAAAGAAGCAAGTTCAATTTCTTACATAATTCCGACCAGTTTCAGAGCCTACTAGTCAATATTATTCTCAACTAGACTCCCTACCATATACTTATAAGTGAAATCTACCTGATTTAGTTTCTATTTTCTTGAATAGTTTGTGGAAACAATTTTTGATGTGAAGATGGTTTTTTCATGGATTAACATCAACTGAGAAACTATCAGGAAATCAGACAGTATTTAACAGTTGGGTTTCCCAAGTATGAGAACTCTTGACAATACAAACTCATAATAGCTCTGGTGATTGAACTCAGGACCTCCAGTTAACCACCGATTGGGAATACAATGGTTCACATTTCCAACCTGTTCTATTCTTATACATTTGAATGATTTATTTGAAACTCATCTCATTTTAACATCACTTAGTTCATATGATTGTATTATGTTTGATAGAATGCTCTATCTAGCTATCGTCACATTAATATTTATCGGTCTCAACGTTGCCCATATTTATTCGGATTCATAAAATTATAATTTTCATGAAATCTATAACCTGATTCAAGCATATATTTGCAGTAGTCATCCGAGTTTAAACATTTTAACAAACCTATTTCAACAACAGTGATGTAGCGCATCATTGTAACTTTATCGAAGAGTTATCCACTGGGTTTTGATTCATTAGTTGGAACTCAGTCATCTCATTAAAAAAATGAAAGTTATAAGTTATGCCTTTGGGAAGGTAGTCAGTGTGAATTATTTCAGAATCGTAAACCAGGTTTAAACAACTATCCAAACCTCCTTAGTTTTCGATTATCCCCTGGTTGGAGTCGAATTATGGAGAGGATAATCTTCAAGTGATTTAAGCATACGACTGTTTTAAAATAATTTCTAATTTACTTTGAGATTCTTTATGATAGTATCAAAGATAACTTATGATTAAATGGATGGTAATGTTAGTTTAAACGTTGAGAGTGATATGATAGATAAGTATGAAGGATAATCAGTTGCCTTATGAATGTCATTTTCATCTTTAAATAATGATTCATTCTTTAACAAACCTTAAAATTTTGGTTACATACACTCTATCTATCCATCTATAACTTTTGATTTTCAAATGAACTGGCTAAATTGATCAGTAGTTCCATCATTTGATAAGTATTCATTTAGGGTTTAGAAATTGTTTCTTCAATTAAATTATTAGTCCTACCATTAGAGTCATTCCAGTACATTTTTCAAAACAGTTAAGCTGTTGTAACAGAAGATATTCTCAAACTAAATTGTATTATTTCAACAACGAAAAATGGTGACTGAATATATTTGTAAGTGCTTATTCAGACACTTGTGTAATAAGTTTGTTGTTTTATATCAATGATGTTAGCTTTCCAATGAAATTTAGAATGACACTTCTGGAGTTCTAGTGAGAAGTCGTTACCAGTGGAGTTCAACCAGGTCTGTTGTGAGATAGGAACTCACTGAAGACAATGGTGTACGGTAGCGCAACTTCGTGGATTGGTTGAAGTTAGACATTAACACCGTTGGATGCCGGCTCAGTGGTCTAATGGTTAAGTGCTCGCGCGCGAAGCCAGTAGGTCCTGGGTTCGAATCTCGCGGGGTGCGGGATAATGGATATGCACTGTTGAGGAGTCCCATACCAGGACGAAACGGCCGTCCAGTGCTTCCAGGTTTTCAATGGTGGTCTAGCTTCAACTGACTCATGATTTCAATCTGTGAAAATGAAATAATATCTTACTGGCTCAAGTTGTCAGTTCAAGTGAAACATGGTAATAAAAGACGAACTATAATTAATGCTGATTGAAAAATTATAATACATAAATATCTCCAATCTCGGCATCACTTGTAATTACATGATTTATGATGTAAGTGAATAATTTCATTCTAAACATAAATATTTAAAAACCCGCTTTATTTTTAATGATAAGTACTTTATTACCATAAGTTGAATTAACAATAGCTAAATGGGTTGCAACTGAAGAACAGTTCTTTTCGGTATTCATTGAATTTTTTTTCAGGTTGAAAGTAATATATATATATATATATATATATATATATATATATATATATATATATATATATATATATATATATATTACATCGGAGAAATTACTTCATGTTTGGAGAAAATTGAAAAGAATATCAGTTTGTTAAACCGAACCTTTTGATTCAGAAATGCAATCAATAATCGTGAAAGCTAGAATAGATCCAAAAGACAGTACAGTTTTGAGTAATTGTGAAAGTTTAAGACCATTCAATTTAAAATGACTTGGATTATCCCATTGTCAATATTTTGACCAGTCTTAGTTGGCATATGGGCATCCTGAGCAGATTGTCTGGATATAGATATTACGACACCAGTTAATATGGAATGGATGATAGCCACATTCCATCCACTCTATAATTAAGATGATACCCATATTGTCTTTAAATTCAGTAGTAGTTAGATTGACATTAAATTTTGTTGAAAACTGTTATACTGTCTTTGCTCGATTGACTGAGGTTGTCAAGCTGAAAGTTGACTAACGAAATTAATCCAAAAAAACCAACTGACCGAATGTATCTTCAAAAAGTTTTTCAATCAATATAATATGACTGAGTTACTCATTCAATAAATGACCACCAACAGAAAGTGAGTGTCACGAAGTAACCGGTGGACTTTCAGTTGTACCCACTGTAACAAAAACCTGTTCCCTACGTTTTTCATTATCTTTTTTATGTAACATATGCTGACTGATTCGTCTTTCAAGTAAATGAATTTCTAATTTATCACAGGATTCTTCCCCTTTCTCCAAACCAAGTCCTTTAGAATGTTTACAAAAGTCATGCAATAATATTTTACAACATATAAATCCCTTGCCATATCGTCAAATTCTGAATGAAGTTTCTCATAAGCTGAGTAGCAGTCTTAATTATTTCACTAATTACTCATCAAATTACTCTTGGCTTAAACAGAAACGTAATACAAAATTACGTCATTACAGTTCCCCTGGTTCCTATTTATTTCCACTCTCCGTTGCATGCAGTTCATCACTTAGTTCAAGAAAACGAAATTTGGTTACATCCAAGCGTACATTTAGAAAAGTTTCCCATTCAAAGAAGCTAAATTCAACATTGACAGATGGTAACATTCGAACACATAGATCGATTCAATCGAAAAATAAAACTTTAATACATGATAAAATTGCTCTGAACGATCCAACAAAAAATGGTAAGTTCTTATTGTATTCAGACAAATCCGTAAGTCAACTGACAACTGAATCTCCTCAAATTAATGATTCACCAACTCAAAAAGTATGTTCACCACAATCGGTGGCATTGTCATCTTTCAATACTAATTCAACTATTTTAAATGGAAATTGTACATGTACCATCTGCAATAAAATACAAATGTTCAATATCTTACTAACTTCCTGGAGTGCAGTGATAAACTTTATTCAAAATTTACAATCAAATATGACTTTATATTCAAATGATATGAGTATAAATACTACTAACGATCTTGTTTATAATTTAGAAAATTCACTAAAACAAAATGAACCGATTATTACTGAATCAGATGACTTAAACAATTCGTTTACATTACCAGTTAATAGTCAGAATAATTCTCAAGATTCTAATTTAGAAAACGATAACTATATAATTCATAATGTACCTTTAAAATAAATTCACTAAATAACTGAATATTGAATAGAATTTCAAATAGAATTACAAGCAGATATGTATATTTCTCTTTATTTAACTGTGATGATTAATTTGTAATATCAACGTTGAAAAATACCAAAGAATAATCTACCTCACTAAACCACTTTGTATGGGCAAATCAATTAATTTTCTTTTGCACAAAATACTTTCTCGTTTGAATTATACACGCTTTATAAAACTTCTGCTCTTTTTCTTCTTTTTCTGTATTAATTAATGTAACATTCATTGGAAGATTTATTTATTAGTAAGGGAGAGGATGGTTGATTGTGAAGAAACACTTTTATTATGCTTACAGAATAATTATAATAGATTTCTGTAAAGATTTATTCAATTTTGAAATGAATGAATAAATATACAAAAACAGAAGATTGTAGATAGTTTTGTTCTCTAAGCTGGATGATTTAGTCGTGAAGCTTTCATCGAGGTCCACAGGACAAGTTGTGAACCACATGTGAAAAAATTCAAACACTTCACTTCTACCTGACGCTTGTAATGATGATGTCGTTCAGAAGAACGACGAAAGTTCCATGACCAAATCATCCAGCTCAGAGAACAAAATTCCATCCAAATCATCCACCTGAGCTATAAATCTTCACCATTGTAGGTGATTCTTTATACAGACCACAGTTATAACAGTGAAAACACTTCACAAATTAAAGCATTTATTTCAAATTATGTTTTAAGAGCATATGCTCAATACAGAATTGTTCATTAAAGATGTTACTTAACTTGATAGAAATTCCCGTAAAGCTAGAAACGAAAACACTGTTTGTAAAACATGTAACTTCCATGTTTTGTTTTAAACTAAATTATAGATACATCTAGTTAGAGAAAGGAAAAAATAGAACTAAACATCTGTCTAGAACTTTCTAGTTTTGACTAACTTTCCACCATGAAAATTGTTTTCCCAACATGAGTAGAATCATTTCAACTGAAACTTTTTCAGTGCATATATAAAATTATGTTAATTATATATTTAAATTATTAAATTGTATATCAAAGCTACTACAAACTAAGAATTTTACATCATGTACTTATATCTGTTCCATAATTAGTCTTTGCGAAAATGATCTCATTCAATTTGTTTCATTAATGAATAATTGATAATAAATAACAGAGTAATTATGTCTGCTCCATCCAATACAAATTTTGGTATTTTTAACTTTGTTTCTATAACAATTTCACTTTACGATAAATGAATCATATGAGCAATGAATGGTTGAGCATTTCCAAGATTTATAGAATTACTAAGCTAAAGAAGCTATACCTATTCATAATCACATAATTGTTTATTGAGAAAAGTAACTTGACTTGTATATGGTGATTTTTATTACTATGTAACATCAGTTGGATGACCGATGACAGTTATAAAGTACAAGACTATTTTGTCTGAGTTCGAGATTTATCAGCAGTAGAATTCATGAGAGAAAGAACTATCATTCAAGATTTATCGTGTATTAAACACTTAACATATTTAGAAGTAAGTGGTTAAATACTATAGATACAACTAGCCAAAAAATAATCCTCCCAATAAACAGAATTAAAAATGTTCTATGCTTATAAGCCTTTGGATAATAAATATTTTCACGATATTGTGCGATTAATTTTGTTCAAATGGTATTATCAATCTGAGTAGCTGTTTCCCGACAGTGTTTTACTGTGTAAGTAGGGAACACCAGATCAAGTCATTTAAAAATTTTAACCTGGATGTTACAGATATACCTTACTGATAAGGGTCTCCATGTACAAAGTCTAGGTCTAGTGTTTTTATGTGGCACCTTAAATTATTCACGACTCTCCCGATTTTCATAATCTTAATACTTAGTTTATGAAGATAATCTATACCTCGTGTTTATGAATACCAATGTGTTACAGTTTATGGAGATATCACGTAGTACTTGTGGCCTGTGTGCCTTGCTAATGTATAACGTAATGATACCGCCAATTAGAGAGCAGTGAATTATCGATCAGACCAATGACGCATAAAACCCGTATGAGCAGTCTAGAGTCCCCATCGGTCTCGCTTCCTGCCTAACCCAGCCAGTTAAGTCCAGAACACCAATCTCAGCCTCTGAATTATGAATCATTTATTTCAAGCATGCTGGGTTTATATACCAACCAGACAGACCACAGCATACCATAAAATATGAAACAACATTTGTACAAGAATTAGCCAAATGTGGCTGTGAATGGGGGAGGTAGTAATTAATAGACATGGCATAATTCAAAAATGGTAAATCGTATGATAATAGCTCATAGGTCAAAATAAAGCTTATAATAAGAGGGACATGAATATGAACAGTTTAGTTATTTAACAATTATACGATAAAAATGTACGCATAGTATTAGTCCATAAATGAATCCCGAAAGTTACCATTCATTATTCATATCGGGACATAACATTACTCCCCTTTGTAAATTGACGGCAAAACAAAAAGCATGGTATTAAAACACCAAAGTGAAGTAAACATTATTTGTTGATGTTTCTAGTGTAACTAGTAAAAATCACCTTAACTTCTGTTGTCGGCATACCTTTTACGTTATATATAACCAGCACGTATTTGTAAGTAAACTTTGTCAAGAAACACCCTCCAAGTTCAGCAAATATATATGTGTAATTAGTATTAACACTGGACAATAACTCGTAGATTCACAAATGCTAGTCGTCCCGATAAATATTAGCAGTTATTTTTCAAGCATTATTTGGTAAGTTTATTTAAAATAAATCACTAAGTTCGGCTGTTATTCCGATTACATTACAATATTATGCATTAAGTAGGTTAATGTGGTTCTTGTTCCTTGATTAAATTCAACTACTTCTGAACATATAAAGCGGATTCGTGGAAAGCTACGACGGAAATATTTTTTATGTCGCTGTTAAGAAAGTTACATTTTACTCCATTTCTAAGCTATAATTTAAGGTTTGGGTGAAATTGAATATTTGATGTAATAAACATTATTGTTATATATTATCTTACCTCAATTAAGTTATCTGACTAAAGTGATTAAATTTGCTTACCGAAAATGGGGAGTAGTGAATAATTAAGGCAGTTGGAAGTAGTCACCCTCCCAACAGAATAGTACAGTAAAAATTATACTAATTATAAATTAAAATTGTAGGGAATCTTCTCTGACAATTTATATCATCTCCTTAAGGACAATCAGACCGAAACACTTAATCAATATATACAAAGTGATGTAGAACACTTAGATGAGATACTTAATATTGTGTAGGCCCAAAGTTAACCGAATGTACTAGCCTTCTCAATTTTGTCGCATTATCACAAATATGGTTTACCTTGTCTGCTTATTTCTCTAAATAAATTTCTTCTTTAGTGAATCTAGTATTGATTAGTAGTTAATGAGGGAAGTAAATTCAGTGTATTTATATGCAAAGCTTTATTTATCGAATGCACTAACTTTACCCATTTTCTGGAAAATTTATGGGACATTTACTAGGAAACAAGTCATAAAGCGTTAATGGACTGATATATATATATATATATATAAATTAGACTTGTATGCATGTTGAGGAATGAAGAAAACAAAATCTCATTGAATTACTATAGTATATATCAACTTTGAAAGAAGTTAACCCTACACTTCGTAGAAAAACACTGTCGAATCAGTTGGCGAGTACAAATCATCACCAGAAAAGATAAGACTATACTAACGAAAATGGAATATCAAAATAGTTATATTACTCTTGAAATAACAGAATAGTAATCTTCGTTGTCAATTTTAAGGTTTAACAGACTTTCAAATAACTAATCCCAATCAAAAAAGTAAATGGATACAAGTATGCAATTGATGTGTTATACGAAAACAATGCTTTCAATTATGATACAGATTTGTAGGTAGAATGTAACAGTTTTAAATTACATACCAAATCTTTCCTATATACTGTCCATTGCTTTTATAATTTAAAAAAATCTCCAAATACTTAGTTTTATGTCTGAGTTTTGTTTCCACAAGATCAACATACTTCATTTACATACTGTAAGCATCCATAAGTAACAATTTGATGACAATTTCCAACCCCATAGAAGAAATAATAACTTATTTGATCAACAGATGAACTCAACTTTTATTCATATATATATATATATATATATATATATATATATATATATATATATATCCAGTCATATCGCGTAAACAATGTCAACGATAAGAAAAGTATTATACACAAAATATGATTGTAATTTATTTTTATTCTTGTTATCATAAATTAATTTCTTGTAATTACTACAACAATAGATATTCTATTTAACAGAAGTGATAAAAAAGAAATATACAATGTAAAACATGAAATTAACACATCTAAAGCTTTAATTAATTTAATGCCATACACCAGGTTGATTTGGATTTGGAATTGGAGCTAATTTCTGAAATGGAACTGTACATCCATGAAGCGACCCTTTAGCTAAACAACAAGAAGAAAGAAACAAAATAATCATTAAACTTAAATGATTCTTAATTAGAAGTGAGATAGGAGTTTTCTATTGAAATTTTATTAGTATTAAATGAAGATAGCTTTTGATTGCATAGCAAAATTTTTGCATACATAAATTTACGAATAACTCCAGAAGGAATGATAATATTTAGACGTATTTTATGCACACAGAGTTAGCTGATATCTTATGTCAGATGAGAATCAGTATTATTGATGAAACAAAAGTTAACTTATCAATAGATTAAAGGTTATCACCGATAATCAGTTATGTCCAACGTAGTATCTGGTACATAGATGTATCGGTTCAAGTTGTTACATCACATCAAACGGGCAACAAAGATTTACTACCACATTAATCGATTTCGCATCCTTAACTAGTGCACTGGTTTAAATCCCAGCATCGTTCACCCAGTGTTCCCAACACACATGAGGAATGCTTCGGAAGTATCTACGATTGAATATAAACGTAGTACGAATGTTCCATATTTTTAAAGATTAAATTTCATAGCCATGAAGTCAAACAGAGCGAACTGCTGAACAATATACTCGTCCTTTGGTTGATAGACAAACACTTTTCCTATGTCGGAAATAACGTAAGTTGGCAAAAGACAAACGAGTTTTAAGAATACGTATCGAGAAAGATAAACCAAAAAATGTTATGTTACATTATTAAGCTTATAATGCTTATAGATGTAGACACCAGAATATTACATTTCTAAGTATCCTTTTTTGTAAAATGAGTTTAAGAAGAAAACAACAATGAAGGCTATATTCACAATAATTACAGTGTACAGTCAACTAAACATTGCAATCATTGACTTTACCTAACATTTTTAGACGTTTCTTTAATTATTCCTAAGACCTTTTTGTTGTTGTTTTTTATATATTAAAAGAACGATGTAGAGACATAGAACGTACAATCTTCATGTTTATTTTAAATTTTTCATATAGTCCTAACTTGTCTACATCTACGAATGTGAAAGCCGTCTCAATTAATAAATTAAATCATTCTTTTGAAAGTAAAAAAAACGATGATGTACTTAAATTGTTACAAGCTACAATTCTTAGATAATTTCAAATAGTTGGCCAACATATACATTTAGAGGATCTATTGTATCAATATTTAATTTCAACTACATAGTCTTGTTTGCTGTCAAAATACTTTCTGTAGAGAACTCAACTAAGGTTTGAGGAGCTATACACTTCTGATAACCACTGTTTAATGTAGTTAACTATTAAAGCATCCACTTGGTGGGATACATCACACTGACCAAAACACATGTATAAATAAAGGTTTTCTGCTGATGATGGATTAAATCTATCTAAATCTCTTCCTCACTTTATATGTAACATTACATAAAAAGGAACAGAATATATATATATATATATATATATATATATATATATAATTTTCCAATGTGTAGAAAATTAAATTTCTGATATCCCATAGCTCAGTGTAAACCGCTTCTTAACTAGAAATCTACCCAATGCTCAATTATCAAAACGAACCTTGATAATGATCATCACCGACTACACAATGACGATTATGTGTTGAGTTTTTATTAAATGAACATTAAGCTGAATAGAAAATGCAGTACATTTATCATATAAAAATAGAAACAATACAATGATACAATTGAATTTCTCAGTATAAAATAAAAAAATCAGTGCATATTCTTACGCAGATTAGCGTTTGACGTTTGTTCGGTATGATCCATAACATGTTCATTTTGTTTGATTTGAGTTGTGGAATTCGATAAACGAATAGGTGAAGCTGATGATGAAACAGATGATGGCTTCAGTGGACCTGAAGAACATGATTTTAGTATACAATTTGATAGACTATTTTGTCCATTAGGTATTGTAGCACAACGACTACCATCTGGACTAATAACTGAAACTGGAAGCCATACACCAAGATAATTAGCTTGCCAAAGTCGTACACAACCATCATCGCCAGACGATGCAAGTAAAGAACCTAATGAATGTTTTTTCCAAGAAAAAAACATGTAACAATTCATTGACGATAGGTTAGCAAAAGTTTATGTAGTGTAGTGATTTATACATTCAACCTATTGTAGGATATTTGTATATGTATGATTTTTCTAATTCACATAAAATCTGATATAACTGGGTACCAAAAATAGAATGCGTTATACAAACATATCTACATGTGGGCTGGGATACTGTCTGAGCGGCTACACTGAGACAGGTAGTTTTATTGGGGATCTACTCCTTGACAATTTGGTTAAGGCAGTGGACCAACGTCAAACTTGTTATTAAAACCCAGATTTCAACTAATATTTTTAGATTTCAAACAAAATAGACGAATGAAAAGGTGAACATATATACGCACAAAAATGTGCTGCAAAATTTTAATGAAGCTACTTGTCACCAGTTTGTAAACTGAAAAATTGCATACAATCAAAGAGTATTACATAGCTTATCAGTTGGGTTCTTTGTAAACATCCTTTTAACTATAACAAACATTGTTAAACTTTACCAGTTACATTCCAAGAAACATGCCAAACTCGTCCTTCATGATGATCGAAACGTGCCATCATTCTAATTTCATACGGATTACGTATAGGTAGATTCGATCTCGACAATGACAAATTATTGGAACTAGAATTATCATCTATTAAGAGGCAAGAAAAAATCGTAGAGAAGTAGTGTTTAATTATGCAGGCTAATTTAGGGACTTTTTAATATAAAATACGCTTTCTCTTAATAAAAGACACTTAATTTTTTTTGAAAAAGACGAAGCATTCCTGTGTGGCTAGTGAATGTAACTGACCGCAACTTACTGACTGCATAATTTGTGTTTTCCGTTTTACTAATGATTTCTACTCTGTACTCACTAACTGTAAACTGCTTATAATTATGTTGAATAAAGTATTGGTCAGTCTTTAGTCTGGTTCCCTATGTTTGGTTATGAATCGTGTATCTGGTATAACGTGATCCAGTTTGTGTATAGCGTACTGATCGAGTATCTAGTCTAGTGGTAATATAATATCGGTTACCGGGTGCATTATCATATTAAAGTAGCATATCGTGGCAAGAGAAAAATATTTTAATTATTTCGTTATATCAACTTTCTTGTTGTTTACTTTTTTAAATTAATGGACTATTTTTATAACAGATCGAGACAACAAGTATGAAATAGAAAGTAATAATATTGAGACTTAAAATACTATCCACATGATGTAATTTAACTTATTTACACATCTATGTACTCAATTTTGAGCTAGTGATATTAACCGGTTACCTAGACCAACGTGGAGTAACATTTAAACTTATAAACTACTGGTTTAACCTCTAGTTTACAGTGAATCTCTTGAATGCTGGAATAGCCGTAACTAAATTAACTAAGGAACAAAAATAAATCAATTAGGTTTAAAAACAATGTTTAGCAAAAATAAATAATTAGAATCAAAAGTTCTCTCTCTCTAAATAATTTACTTAATTTTTATCATTTTTCATTTTCCTATGTATAAATATACATCGGAAGATGGGTTAACTTAAAGTGGAACATATTAAGTTGTGGACTAAAAAGAAACAGAACAAGAAGTTATCACAAGTTTTAGAAAATTGATAGCTTTTGATCAGCAGTAGAGTCCATAATGTGCTTTCATTCTAACTGGAACTCATCAACTGAACGTATCTGAATTTCAGTATTAATGAACCCAGTATCTTTTGTCTTTAACACTCCCAACGGGTAATCTATTCATCTAGTGTATTTAAATAGGCAATAGATTGTACATTCAGTATAGTATTTATACCATTTTAAGTTAGGACTTAAATCTTTGCCTAGAACGATATAAGCAATTATTACATTTGACAATATATTTTTTTATATCAAAGAATTATTTTGGACAGGTTGGTAATTAGGACGGAAACAAAATACATTTATAGAGTTTATTTGTTGTGTCTATGTAGCTAAAACGTACTTTTTTAAAATTTAAAATTATAATTTGATACTGAACAAATATGACCCATAACAAAATGGAGAAATCAACTTTTCATTATCCTTTGATTCCCAATAGTTACCTAACTGAAATTTTTGTCAAACCACTGTTTCCTTACAAGATTAACGTCTATTACAAGTAATACAGTTCAGGACTATAGACTGTACTATCAGCTAGATCAAGTGAATAGTACGTTAATCTAAATTGTAAGTGATGGTTAGCATTTATTTATTTATTTATTTTTGATACAACTAGATAGAAGTGGATGAAATTTAAAGAATTTATAATATTTTTCATAATTTGTCATTTGCACTTGGTTACAACTTACGAATTTAAAAGTATAAACTACCACATGAAGTTATGCAAAATTCTATCTCCAACTCTAATTGATAGTGAAAATGATGAACAGATAAAATATGATATTTAAAAAAACACTTATAGGTGAACCCAGTTCTTAAAAAAGCTGTCTAGTAAAATCATCTATAAAAAATGTGAATATTTAACTTACTTTTCATCAGTGAATTAGAAGATTGATTGGAGTTAAACGGTCTAATTCTTAATATATACAATTCTTTAGATCCAACAGCTAATGTATGATATGATTGACCCATATGTGGAGCGAACGATACATCGTAAATAGGATCATTCAGTGCATGCACATCTTCCACAAGATACCAATGCCTTCTAGCTTCAGAATATTCATAAAGGATAAGTTTACCGTTCACTAGAGTATTTGTTGGATGAGCTGTTGAATGAGACATAGAATGATGTGCTGGTAAACCGTCTGAATTATCCGCAGTATCTGGATCATTAGGACTAACGCTGCCAACAGCAATTAAAGGTGGATCAAGACGTGACTGAAAAAATATTGATGGAAATGGATTGATTACTTTAAGAAACAAAACAATCTAAACATTTGGATACTAATGGATGTGTGATTATCTATATCTACGGCTTCATTTATAAAAATGTGCCATATGATGTTAAAATAGCAACATACATATTGTAACGGCGTAACTAAATGGAAATCTGTATATGAGACAATTTTATTTAACGAGATCTGATTACATTTCCTACTCTTACAAAACTAAATACAGAGCAGAGACCTCAGTGTACGAATCTACTAAGTAGATAATAAGCTACAGTTGAGATTTTTACTTATTTATTTATTTGAACACATAGATATTGGTACAAGGGGGCACCAGATATTTATGCGCCGCACGCTACAGTTGAAAAGTAAACAACCAACAAATTGAACATGATCAGTAACCTACTGCTTCCAGTTGATTTAAAAATCTGAACATCAAAAACTCTAGAAAATATTTTAGATCAAATTCCTCCTTATTTGATAAACAACGGTACATATGACTGATTGACATACTTTACAATCCATATTCAATTAATTTTGTGTATGCTAGAGACTATGGACCGACCGTGTCTTTTAATTCACGCTGATTTTATAGAATTAGCCAACGACAATATGAAAGCTGTTATATTCTACTGATTAATGACACTTACATGATTTAGAAATTATTCTTCTGAATAATTAGTTTGAGTTCTACCACACGTAATTTAGTTAGGCTATTCGTTTAGTTAATGTTAACAGCTTCCTCACACAATGAATGTGTTTGAACGATGAGCATACATACATAAACTACTTAATTACTGGATTGCACTAACACTGGATAATGACTACAAAGACACTGGTCAAGAGCTTAATCAATAGTGTGAGCGTATTGGATTAAAAAAAACATAAAGCACGGGAAAAGTAATCATTCAATAAGAACGATCGATAACCGTATACTTTTCAAGTATATTCTATATGTACAACTATGGTAATATATCTATCACAAAATATAATCAACAATACATACCTGAGACCATGCTAAACATGATCCAGCCATTTTAGTACCGAAATCAAACTGTAAACGCCACTGACTTAAATTCATAACATCCTTTAATAGAGTCGGGTAATAAGAAAAACAGAAATGGGAATGAACAAATTCCAATATTTTATGGAAAACAAAACAGAAGATAAGCAAATAATTTTCCAATATGGAAATATAAATTATTTTAATTTTACAACGGTAAGTATTTTGCTATTCTTTCTCATTAGCTGATCTGTGAATATACCTCTAAAGAATAGTTTATTTATTCAATAAAATTCATCACAAAAACATACCATTGACTTTCGTAACATAGTTTGAATTTTCCAACTCTAATCCCATAAGGATTTACGAGTACATTTGGAATTCTAAACAATAAACTGGTTTATACGATTGATGATCCATAACATCTGTGTTCAGTTCAGTTTTGAATTCGATCATTGTATTAAATAATGTATTAGATATAGGATTCGATTTACATACAACATTTTTGTTCAAGCCATTTCTAAAACTCAATCAATTTTACTTTAATAAATTTAACTGATTGGACCTAATCAAAATACCGGAAGGTTATATATAATCCAAATGACAAGTTATATATAGCATACTGTGTAAGTTTTAATCGGTTACCATTAGAATAAATGTCATAATTTGTGGTTCATTTCAACAACAAATGTACATTCCTAACATCTGACCGATCAAACTACACACCTTAAGTGAATAGTCAACGAATTTATTGATCAGTGTTATACTTCAGTTAGACGACTTTGATGCTTTTTCTAGATATTAAATGTCAATATTCTCGAAGAAATGTTTGCACTCAGATGTGATGATTTTTTAATTATATGGATAACGATAAGAGCAAAGAGAAAGAAAAAAAATACAGTATTCATTGATAACTGATACGATTTAGATTATAAAATTCGAACGGTCGGTGGTGAACAACTAGTGTATAAACAGGACTGCTTTAAAAATGAACTAAGCAACTTTATATCTAATGTGTATGCTTAACTTTATAAAGTTTGAAATCCTGAACTGTATGCAGAAAAATGTCATATTAACTTGGACATTTAGTAAGTATCAATGAGATTGAAGAAACTGGTGCCGCTTTTTCCCATCAAGTTTTCTCTTTAAAACATTCTGATTATCGTATTACTTTCAATGAATTCAACAGCTAATTATAAAAAAAACGACTAAGAATTATCGAAATTACCATTATTACAATAATGCTTACGTAGTGGAATTCAAACATATATTTAACAAAGAAGACACCTGCTTACCAGTGCTTCATAAATCCGCAACATGCCATCTGTAGAAATAGCAGCCAACTGAAGACCTAGATGTCTTGGAGCGAATTGTAGACCAGTCACAGAAGTACGTGGATCAACAAGGTAGGCACGTCTTATCCAATTAGTGTTTGCTGACTGACTTCCATATGTAATGTTTGTTACAGTTGAAGGAGTTTGATTGGTACCACCATCATTTTCACCACCACTTGTTATAGTCTAGGTAAAATAAAAAAAGTAGAAATCAAGAGTAGATTAGATCAAACACAAACGGAACTAGTAATTAAACATAAAAACAAGAACATTACAATTGTAGATACTTGAACGAGTCATAGGGAACTACAACCTGCTCCTACAATCTACAATTCACTTCTTAATTTTGCAAAAAGTTTCTTATTGATAACGAATATGGGGAAATAAAATGTTTAGGTGACTGCATAGTTCTATCGCATGTATGCACATAAATGACTACAAATTATAAAGAGTTAATTAGCTATAAACAGATTATAAATATACTGTGGGCCAATGACTAGAAATTCCATTACATGTCTCTACTTTATATAGTTTGCAAGGATCTTTAAGAATACGCGAAATTACTTACTTGAGTGCCTGCGATTTCCTCCCATACAGCTATTGTACGATCGAATGAACAGGTAGCGATAACCTGACCGAATTCAGGATGTGCCCAAGTAACACGCCATGCTGATCCTAAATGACATCGCCATGAAGCAGTGCATACCCATTCTTCATTGTCCTTTAAATCCCAAATCTACGAATTTATAAAAATATTTTACCCATTAATGTAGAAAGCTAAAGAAATATTGCAGTGTTCCCTCTACCTTAAAATATACCAATAACTGTGAGTAATCCTTTATCAGTCACAAAGTTGAAAATACGATAATACTTAGTATGATATACATATATGGCAACTATTAAGGTATACGAGATTACAAAACGAAGTATGGATTATGGAAGAAAATAAGATCACATATAATGTTTCCACGAGTTGTTAATTCCTTATGATTGCGAATTACCGTTTGGAACAACACATATAAGTGAACAATTGTTTTCAATTAGATCATCATCAGGCTTTACTCTAATATAAATGAATATTTATACGAAAATGTTAAACCAATCAAGGCAATTTGGGTCAATAATCACAATGAAATGGAATAAGTCACCACACATGATAGGTAAACATACAAGTTGATAGTAGGAAGACTGTGTGTACTGATAGTAGTAAGAATAACAAAATATGATCACAAAAGTCTTATTAATAGTTAAACGTTGGAAATAGAAGGTCAAACGTGGGTAAATAGACTTGAAATAGTCATCACAAAACATTAAAATCATTACGTAATAAGAAGTGTGTAAATAATTAGATTGTGAAGAATACAAACGAAAAGAGGTGGAGAATTACAAACAAATAATGGATGTGAAAATTATTACCGTTTGCATTATATTTTTGATTTAATCCCCCGTGCCTTGAAAAATATTTAGAATTTAAAGTTGATTTTTGAAATGCTGAATCTGTGTAATTAGCTAAATGTCTTTTTAGCTATCCAGCTTTTTCACAGGCTTTGTCACCGGAGACATAAGAAAACATGAGGAATGACCATCAACCTTGTGAAAATACTACAATTATGACAGAATGTAAATTTCCACTGGATGGCTGCAACAAATCTTATAATACAGCTGGGTGGGTAAAAAGACATCTAACATGTCATCCTCAACACACGCAAACCATCTCAACAGGCGAAACACAAAATTGCACGAATACATATGATCAAACAACACGAAGCCATAACATAGAAACAACAAATAAATTACATCAATGCCCATACAACGGATGCAAAAAGAAACTTTTAACAAAGAAAGGAATAATCAATCACTGCTATGTAGTACAGTGATGGTCAGGAAGTACCGGACGGGAAATAAGATCAAGAACAAAACAATCAAATGCAGAAACAATTATTGCGACCCGGTAGCTGTGACGCGCCTTCATTTATTTATCTTCTCCAGAAGAACCTACCGGCTTTACCAACTATTTTGGCTGGAAGGGGAAGGCCAAGGACAAATGACATAACTAGAATACAAACATATACCGAAACCACATGTTAAAGAAAAATATCCAGATGGTTTCAAAAGTTGAGGCCTCTAAATTTCTAGTTTGAAATATAAATATTTTAAATTTTTTTCAGAACACAGACAAATATCAAAACAAACTTTTTGGGAGAAGAATTCCTCTTCTCTGTTGCTTTACACGAATCAGATGAGAGCGGATCGAATTTCTCGTTTTTTCACGGAAACGAAGCTACGTGAACTCATTATTTCCGTTTTGTACAGACATTCAATGAATACATCCCTTTGCATCTATATAGTCTCTTTTAGCGAATAGAACACTTATAATCGAACTAGATAGACGGAATAGTAGAAATAGTTAGAATAATGACTTCAATAGTCACCTTTTCAACTTTAAAAGACATATAGACATTTACATAAACTTTGAATAAACTTAATGTATCTTAATCAACAGCACGAAGTTGTTTCGTTTTTCTGTAACCGATAGTGTTTAAAATATTAGAAGAGATTTGCAGAATAACATGAAATGAACGATTTTGTCATGAACAACAGTTATATTTTAAATCAGTCAGTCGTGGATAACGCATTTGATAGTATGAATATGTACTGGTCCAAATTACTGCACCTCCATCAATACACCCAACTTGCTGTTTCCACCAAACGAGTAATGATTGAGCATAATTATGTATAAATTATGAATGACCATATACTTAATTAGTGCAATAAAAATAAACAAAATAGTTAAATAAATGATGAATCTGTTCAAAGGAATATTAAAAATGAATCCATATATGACCCAGACATACAAATGGGCAATAAACAAAGATGAATAAGAATAGCATGACTCGATGGTTGAGGCTTTCTAAGTGGAAATAATAACTATGAAATATAATTCAACCATTAGAAAGTTGTGTAAAGTCACTTATTAAAAAAAACGCTATAATAAGTTATTATCAATAATGTTTAGTAGTTGAATTATGACAACATTTGTAAGATATGGTTACTATAGCAGTAAGCTCCTCAACCATGCGTGATAACAAAAACACAGGTAAGCGATAATAAAGGGAATTTAAAAGAACACTCCTTACTATCATGAGATAAAAGGTCAACAAAACATTATTAGTATAAACCACAAAAACAATAACAATAAGTATTAAGGAATAATTATGTTAAATAAAGAACTATTCAGCTCATATTCCCCATGTAACGATAACAATAATAATAATAATAATAATAATAAATAATAATAACCTATTGAGGTTTCAGTAATCTTATCAATACCGCAATATTATCACTTAAAAAGGGAGAAAATTACAACGTAAAGACAATAAATAGTATGATGAGTCAGCAAAATAGTATACCATTTGGAAAAATAAGCTTAAATATTTAAGGCCAAATTCAACACTGCTCCTTCTCTTCGACGAAGTTAAACAAACAGGTAAACACTAGTTGAAGGTTATATGGAAGTGAATCAATCAATAAACTACTCTTTAAGATATTTTCTAAATTGATTTAGAAAATGTTAAGCAAAAAAACTGAAATAATGAGCGATGATTTCCTCATTTTGTGGGTAATAAAATCTTTTGAACAGAGTGTTTTACATAGTACTCCTGAAATTTATAAATTATAGATGGTGTTGAGAAAGTTTTCCTCTTGCCTTGAATTTAACTGGATGGTCACTTCATTCACAAATTAAACATCAGTCATCAGCGGAGATAAACAGAAAAGTAAAGTGAAGAGATTTCGGATGAGTGCTTTTACCGAATAGTTGTACTTGAATTCAATACAAATAACCAAGGAAGAGAGACATGAGCATACGATATGGTACAGCTCTAACGGAAGTGGTAACAACTAGAAAAACAAATTTTACAGAATCTGCGATGGATCAGAATATAAAGTACTGAGCTGTCACTGAGTCACGAAAACAGTACACACGCTCTGAGTGTGGTCCTCGAGATGACAGAGGCTGTCTCATCTCTCGCATGTTTTATGATTTTGTAGTTCTACTGACTTTTTTATATGACTGGAAAATGTGGTAACTTGAACTGATGAGTTTGAGCTAGATTTCATTTAATGATTTATGTAGTCAATAGATGGTTTGAAATGGTATTCTTATGTAAGCGATTGATCTTCTTTCATCAAATGACTTACATTTGAATTGTTATTTATATCTGTCTAATTATGCCTATAAGTTTGAATAAAAGATCACGTTTACTCTTTCTTCTAAAACTGCTTATTCAAAGTCAATATGTTTACCTACTCCGAACTGACCACCTGGTAAAAGATGAACAAGGATTTTCAGTTTCTAACATTTAGAAATAATGAATAATAGGAAATGTGGTCACACTATAATTATACTGGTTGTACAATAAATAAAATAGTTAACTGTTATGAGACCGGTTTGAAAATAACTAAATTGAAATTAGTAAACACGAGAAAACAAGAACTAAGAGTCTCCCAAACGATACTTTCATCTACATTATGATATACAATGCTTGGAAATAGAACTTGCATACATCACTAAAATTCTACTATTTTTATTTCAAAAAAGGAAAAATTATTTTACAAATGTTATGGGATGTAGTATCATTATTTAAGAATATGTTTTCAGAGCTTTTGTTTAACACAAAGTAATTTGTAACTTTCAAGGGGTATATGCACAAATTTCTTAGATTCATGCCCTTTATAACTAAGTGAAGTGATAGAATCTTTAAAAAGTACTAAGAAACATGTATAGAGAAGGTATTTATATAAATTTATTGGACGTCACATGAAATAGCGAATTGGCAGGAATGACTGCTTTCCAGAAAACTAACTACTCACAGTATCTGACAAACTAGTAGTAAGTGGAAAGGATCATAAGATGATTAGTCAGTAATGTGAACAGTATGTTTAACCCGAACCCATCAGTTCGACTTTCAGTCATTAAGTCCCAAGTTTGAACCCTGCCTCACTTGTGTTTGGGTGACCGGATAGTATAATTAGCTGTCAAACTTAAAGTGTAGTTCATATATGAGTACATGGTTATTCTATACTTTATCACAAATTTTAGAAAACGCTGAAATGAAAATACTCAGTGATGGTGATTCAGTTCTCAAAATAATTAGGAAATCAACACGAAACCAAAGAATAATAACAAGAACCTGACCGCTAAGTAAATAACAGACGGGAAAATATCTATGATTTAAAATATGAGGAAAATAAAGAGTGGATGAATATGAGCCACTGAGATCAATAACACGACATGTCTGTTAGGATATTCAATTACTGACTCCTAAGAGCCTATTCAAGTTTTCGGCGAGACTCTGATTTATGGACGACCTTTGAACGAATCTTAAATGACCTTGAGAAATATTAACCAATCAGCAAACAGTCAGTATAGAGTAAAAATATGTTATACAAAACCAAGGAAATAAAGTGGATACAATTCTTATACGTGGTTCAAAAACTTGTCAAAGTTAGAAAGAAGTTCAGAGGTTCTAAAATCGTAATGCATGCAGTAGAGAAAATCATTCATACGGCTACAGAATAGTCGGCCTCTGGAGCCATGATAAAGTCTCAAAAACTCTTTCAGCCTCGACCACATAGCTTCAATATTGTTTATGTGCACTCCGGTTGTTGAGTGCACAAAATGCTACTTGTGGATAACAACACGATGCACATAACCAGGCCTATGTGGGAGTCTGTACGCTCTCTAAACATCCGTATACATTGTAGTACCTGGCTGCAGCCAATGTTACTGTTACTTTCAATATCCAGTCGGCAATAAGTGTCGTACTTTGTTTTAGTTAGGAGTTATATATGGGGTTTTCATCACGAACTAAAATCAGCTATAATGCCAGAAATTTATTTAGCCAAATGGATGAAAGGCTCTCGCGTTAAAATCCGAGATCTATTATCTTATACCTGACTGATTCGTCCACAGATTATAGTCTCGCCGTTTTATTTGTTATAGCCGCTCAATTATCACGTTTTGCACAAAATTCCCTGTGAACCGATCGTGCGTCAGCATTAAGCACTGAAGTTGGCACCGTAACCTTGAAATCTCTAAAAAGCTGCTGATTGGCTCGTCCATAAATTAGAGTCTCGCCGAACTTCGAATCACTAAATCAGACTCAACTGATATATGAAAGTAACCTGCAGTTTAGACGATGTTATATTCTTAGGCCATTGCTCAGATCATTTATTATTATCTAATAGTTTGGTGGGATGTCCAAAAATTAGGCCTAATAGTTAGATCTTAATTGATCAGACAATGAGTGATCTACAAGCTGATTTTCTCCTTTCGCCTGTGATATTTTACGAAGTTTATTTTGTGTTCGTATTTCGTGTACAAGCATGTTGTCCTATTACGTAAAAATTCTATCTACTCATCTGCTTAGTGGTCTTGTTTTCGGTTTATAGTTGTTCGGGGGTTCAAGTCAATTAATTCTTTTGACCAGCTATTACTCGGTTACACCTCATATTATTGCGTCTATCTATCGACTAGTGTTGTATACACTGATTTCGAAAACTAAAAATTAATCATTAAAAACCGGCTTCATAATATAATCCCAACAAAATAATAAATTTTGCATATCATAAGTATTTTTTGAAACAGTATACACGTACTTTAATCATTTGATCACTACTACAAGTTGCCATGCGTCGACCATAGAAATCATAGGCTACATCATGAATTAAATCAGCGTGATTAGCATGAATACTGCTTGACACAAACATATTTTCTATTTAAAAAAATAAATAAATAATCCTGAGTAAAACTAGTACTGAGTAGGTCATAAAATAGAACTAGATACTGAAGAGTATGATGCAATATTATTAACGATGAAAATTGTCAACAATCAAATCAAGACGATGTTATGTTAAGTGAACCATGATATCATGAGGTCATATAAAAAGGTACACTGAAACGATTAAAAACCTTTGACGAAAATACAAATGTGTACAACTAAAGGAAACCAGTGCAAGTACAAGAGCACATACCTAAAATATTTTTAGTGAGAATCCTTATACAGTGAGGTAAAACCTATCCAAACAGGTGTTTAAAAAGAACGTAGTCCTGGTGTTTGAGACTGCAGTTGGTCAATCGTTTTTGGTGTATAAGCACTATGAGAGGATTGACTTGATGTTGTTATCAGTCATACGTAGAACGAAACGCACCACATGGATTCTACCGCTAGCCACTACCCAGCTCTGCTTAGAAATTTATAAGATTGTTGAGAAGCCAATTAAAAACCTTGGGATGTTGGTTAAAGGACTAGTTCAGAGTGTAGTAACGTCAAAGAGACTATCGTAATCGCTTTAGACGAAGACTAATTCGTTTGACATAACGGAGGGCTGGACAAGCAAGTAGTAAATCATTTGGTCCAAGCCCTTCCTAAGATGGTTATGCAATTTGGTTGATAAGTTAACTTCACTGCTAGCCATTATGACACAAGTTTATGCAGTGTAATATAGGACAAGTTTCGCAATACTTGAAATTCACAGATAGCTACATTCCATCTACTGTAATGTAAACTTGTCATAATGGCCATGTCAGTGCAATCTGCAGGAAATGCACATATGCCAACTAAGATTGGTTCGTTTGTCAACTAGCGAGGAAACTGGAGCGTTAAATATATATTTTTGACAAGTAGATGGTTAAGATAAATCTGTAAGCCAACTAATTTTATATTTTTTCTGCTTTTCAGACGATGACGGTAATTGGGCAGATGAATAACCAGCCGAAAAAATCAGTAAGACATTTGCGCTAATGAGGACTACCACAAAATAGAGTGTTTATAAGTCAAGATTTCACGACAGTATACAGTCACCTTTCTGTGACATGTACTAAGTACATTAACACAGCAATCATTTTTATCCAATGTTAGTGAAGATCTTGCCAAATTTTACGATACCTCAACGCAACGTTACTTTTATAACACGAGGGATAAGGTGTATACAAGTTGTTAACGAAGTGATGATAACGTTATAATTATCACTGTTAATTTCTGTTTTCCGTTTTTGACGCAGGTACATACTTTTCGGTACTAGAGTAAGTCTTAATTTGTAACTAGTTTTTAAAGATTTAACAAGAACCCTTTAGTAACCGTTAATTAGTGTCCCAATTCAGGACTCAAGTTCTCCTTACTGGCAATCGAAGAATGGTTGACATTTAGGATTTTACTACTTTTATTTTGTATACTGTTATCCATTTCTGTTCAGTGAGTTTACCTTAACATACATCCACATTTTCAATTGGATTTATTGAGTTAAAGTGAACCAGACGCAACAAAAGAAAGCTTGCATGAATTAACATTTTTCTTGAAATGAGATTTCCCCTATATATGTTTTTGGGAAACCTTGTTTAAAATGCCAAATTTACTTCAGTTTTGGATGAGGAAAGTAAAATTTTTCAGACATAATATTTCAGTTGACTGTGACCCGGATATAAACAACTTAAGAAACTGAAAGTGTAATTTAAGTGGATCGTTTTCCTCATATAGACCATTCTTTCGTGTCGTCACAGAAACTTTATTTGCCCGAAGAATTAAAAAATAACTGCCGAGGTACTTAGGGGATTTTGGACTAGTGTCAATTTGGGAGGAAATATACATACCGTGCAGAAATTAGACTATTAAGCTTACTTTAGGCTAGTGGCATGTTCCAAGGAAAGCAAACCATTTGGTTGTAATACGGGGGAAAATGAGACAATTTAGGGTTCATCTGAAGGAGTTAACCGAAGTCTAAGGTTTAGATTTTGAGATATTCCCCCTCATCAAGGAAACGACAGAAAAACTTCCACTAATTCTTCCAGGATGAGGAACGAAGGAGACAAACTGATATCTTTCCACCTATACTTTCTGAATGTTCAGCCTTATCATCACTTTTCAATTTATTTTGGTGTAGGCGTAACAAAAAAATCGAAGCCATTGGGCCTTAAGCAATCTCTTGAGTTGCTACTTTAAAATTAACTGTCAATTAACTTACATGAGGACCCTGAAGACGTGACCAACTTAATTAGTTAGGGCCCTAGAAAGCCATGAGTATCAGCGAAGCGCAAACGTTTGAAAGGGCCACCATCATGCAAACGGAGTCCAAGATTTTTAAGCTTTAAATTCCCATAGGTAAAAACAATCATACTTTTGTTGCATTTGTACATTTAGGAAATTCAAACTATTTATCTTCCATGTTCTGAATTATTATTCGCCGGTTTTGCGTTTCAGTACGCTCTATTATCATTCTTAATAAAGTGACAAAATTTCTATTTTGGTCTGAGTATAATGAAATAATCAAGTAACTCTAAAAATTGCGACATTAAGTTGTCATTGTTACAAATAACTTATTATGGTTCATGGTATCACTTAAATATTTATTAACCTTAGGCAGATCATTCACAGAGCTGGGTTGTTCCTGCTTCAGATGGTTGAACACTGAGCACTTTACTTTCAAGATCAAGGCTGATCAATATGGAATAATTGATTGTATGTCATTAACTAGGCATCGTGTAGTAGTTGTCTTCTGTATTTCACTATTCGTTTCATAGACTACATTGATTTTGTCAGATTTCACTTGTTCATGGACAACTATAACTGAACCATTTCATCCGGTTATCACGAAATAAAACGAGCCAGACTGGGTGTTAAAAGTGAGGTGTGACTTCGACGTCACCTAGAGAGTCACACCATTACCGCCCAACCAGAATAAAATTGACGGTCAGCACTGTCAGTCTACAAGTCTAATGATATTTCGGTTCAACACAACAAAACTGTACTGAACTTAAACTCTTTTTGATATCGTGCTTCAAATATTTCACAAGCATAATCAGCATAAACTTGTCGACCTCAAATAAATGTAGATGAGGGTGAGATCTAATCAACAGTACCTCGTACATAATCCAGATTCAAACTACTGCCTACTTCATTACTTAAAGGCAAGAGTAACCCAGGCGAGTTTCATAATTTCATTAGATTATTTCTTACTATATTTATGATGCGTGATAACGTTTCGTAGTTGCTTTCACGTAAACTAGTCATATATTCTGTCACTGCCGTCAAGTTTTAGTCGAAATCATGTACATTTATGACTCGTTAGTCGACATACTGTGGTAAAACATATTGCATGTACACGAGCACGCTTAGTCCATGTCCCAAGTACACATGTTGTCGTACTTAATATGTCACTTAATGCTAGGTAATAAGCTCTTTGTATCATCCTTTTACGAAATGGCCACGTTACCTGGACCCTCTAAACCTTAGTTACATTGGTGTTTACCATTTTAATTAATGTTTATTATACCCCTTGTATTTGCTAATAATTCACACGGTAAATCATGGCTCGATTTCCTTATTATACGACAGTCATTTTAATTCTATTTTCGGTTTATTTACATGCCATACGGGTTTGGAAAATATCTAAACGTCCTCGAAAATTCTCCACGAACCCAACCATAGTTTTCGTATATGTTTTTATTCACACATCCAACTGTTACACTAATCATACGTAAGCGAACGTTCAGTGCAACTGTCAGTATACGTAAGAACGATGTTATTTAGACTTGACATTGTAACACATCTGAACTATTGTAGTTGTTCTACTTCGATGTCGTACTTCATTTTATGAAGTATTGTTTCCTCGTGGCTGTTGTTTAACAGATGATTCCGGTACATCAATCGGCTGTTCAACTACTCGACGATTTACAACCTGTCCAGTTCAATTGGTGGTCTGACGACAATATCATTCGCGCGAATCATCAGTTTATGCAGTCGAGCGAATCTCCTGCAAACTGAAAACGATATTGTCCGCTGTATCCCAACACTGACAGCGTTTTTCACGGGTATCATTGACATGAGTCCAGAGTGACACTCTTGGTTTCTTATGTTCTTTTCGATATTTTTCTGTTCACTAACCGAACAAACACGCAGCATTCACCGTTTATAATCTTTTAGAGACTTCATCGTGCCACCTTTTGCTGTCGATTTGTAGCCTTCAACCCTTACTGACTGTAACAGCAGTCATCGACTTTTCAAACTGTGACTACAAGTTGGTCAATAGCTTCGCACAACGAAATCACGACCACTCTTCACTGTTATACTTCTGTACTTACGGTTAGTCTGTTGGATATAGATATAACTAGAATTTGACACTAATTAATAGCTGTCAACGACACTGTCCGACTTACAACTTTAAACTAATAACAGTACAAATATGGATATCGATTGATAGTACACTTATCCTACTATCGCTATAGCATCATTACTCTTGCGGCAGACTTAACGTTTGTCATCGGAGGAACTGAACTACTTGTCAACGCTATATATTTCAGCGCGACTTGATAGAACAATAAAACGTTTTGTTCTTTTCATTATTTCTATGGTTAATCGCTTTACGTTTAACGAACGTCCTACTAACATATTATGACTCGCTGTTTCCCGACCAGTTTCTGCCGCCTCCTTTCCATTTCTTTTACAGATAAGCAATACCTGGAGGATTTATAATATTCGTTTGGCACTCTCTGGCGCGCGACTGTTCCCAACATGTTCGGTACCGATTCAAACGACCGTTGAATCTGGTGGGGGAGTATTGTAGGGTCAGTGAAATGTCACTGAGCCCTAGCCAAATCATACGGCAGTTGGATCACTGAATGTCGAACAGATCATCGCTCCCTGCCAAGGTCATGTAGAAGCAACGCGCATTAGTTAATCATACGCCATGGACTGGCCCATGCGGCAGTGGTCTTACTTTCGCCTGTATCTACCTTAACTAATATATTTCTGTAATAACGTCCTTTGTGTTGTACAGTCTTCAAAGCATCTATAGTACCTTGTTACGCCAATGGGGGTAGTCCACGTAAGGTGCTGACCACAAGGTGTGACTTCGACGTTAGTTGGTTCGTCACACTATTCACGTCTAACTCGAGTCGGCCTCCAATCATTTCGACATAGATCATCTACGTTGGTGATCTACAACGTCATTATGACAGCTGAATAAAAACTGAATTGAGATTGTTGAATAAAATGGATTCCTGTGCTATTGTTCATTCACTAGTTCTGGTTTGATACAAAAGGATAATTAATAATACTGAGTTTCATTCCTGATAAGTACGTGGATACTCCAATCACGAAACTAGCCACATAATATCATTATATTTCATATGTTATTTTCCGCCCTTTATATATGTATCACTATTAAAAATTTGCACGATCTCATCAATAGGATCTTTTAGGCGATATAATTTTGTACACTATAGAATGTCCTGAAAATACAACTTATAGAATCCCAGCTATCTATAGATGAATCGGAAAATTCCGTATGTCGTGTTGTGGTAAATGGATTTGAAAGATGTGTAGTGACCTACATTTATCAAGAGAACTCGATTAATGTAATGGAAACAATTATTATTTGCTTAACTGTACCAAAACACATACATTCTTTCGTTGATTGTGACTTTGCACGAATTCGGTTACGCTCAGAAACCACGCTTGTAACCTGGTACAGTCTCGATATTCTTTCGATACCACGAGATCGCCAACAAAGACATCTCGACTACAGCCATCAACTGCATTCTGATATCCGGCTTACGGGGGATCTTATCGGTTAACTGGCATGTAGTCTTCCTGTAGTGCTGATCATAACCAAACGCAACTGGACGCCACACTACAGATGTGTAATGAAGTAGTCCCGCACTCGTTCTCTTCTATGTGTTTTCAAGAGCATCTTTCAAATTTTGACAATTATAGCTTGTTAATTTATACACATAATTCCCCTTTATTATTTCAAAGATAGCAAGAACACAGATTGGTGAAGAATAATACACATTTAATTTATTTCGTTAGGTTCTCATCAGCTGCTCACAACCTAAAATGTTTGAAATTCAGTCTTTACAGTTATTGACATACATACACATAAGGGCGTGATTAAGGATGAATATATGTATCATGACGTTGCGAAGATTCCGATAGAGTCAATGAGGTCATAAAGTTTTGTTTCGAATAAATTAAGTTTGGGAGGGAAGGTTCCAGAACATTGAAAAAGTGATTAGAGCTCATGGAATTAAAAAACACATTGGACGATTATGTAATGAAGTAACTGGAAACAGATTAATGGTAATAAAGAAAGATATGAATTGAAATCAGTCAGTTATGAATGATGTAATTTTAAAATTCGATAAGAGTTGGAATAGTGAATGACGTAATAAATTATTAATTTAAGTGAGCTCATCAAGAATGCTTCAGAAGCTTATATCTATACTCTTGAATTGATGAATTATTGGCTCTTATTATGTGTTTGGTTAACTAATTCGTTGTGTATGAAGTATGTTCTAGTCATATATTTAGGCTTGGCAATTCACACTGAAGCATGACACAGGTATTCAGTGTTTGGCAACGCTTCTACCAGTAACACCTAATATAATTCGTAACCACCCAGAGAAATCAAAAGATAGAGTCGAGATGATCGGAAGAGTGTATTTGGCGATAACCAATTTATCGGAATTCTCTGATCTAATCTGGCTAGCGATTGCGGTAGATGTTGAGCACGGCGTTACCACACGTGATCTGGTGCGGATGCCTGACCGAGCGCCTTCAGCTAGATGAGTCCACTAAAACATGTGGTCAGCATCCAATGTCGAAGACTTACAGAGCTGTTTATTTTGGGGATTTATTTACCGCTACAGATCACTCCCTCCTAGTGGGCTAGTGATGACCCTTAGACATGGACAGCCAGAAGTTTAAACTCGACGAGTCTGTCGTTGGTAAACAATCTTCTGATAGCCTACTGGTCGTCTTCCCTTACTATATGGGACCGAGGTACAACATAGTAAAAAATGAAAAGGTACAATGAAAATTTTGACTCCTCGTAAACTTCATCGTTCTTTTCCAGCCGTCTTGGAAAAGAAAAAAGAAAATGTAAGTGCATGTTGAAATACACTCGTATGTGCGTGAAAACACAATGTCGGCGAAAAATTGGAATATAAACTAATCAACACGTAATATCGTTAAAAAATTTGTTTTTTTTTTAAATAAAAATAAAAATATATAAGCATATTAAAATTGTTTTTTTTAATATATTATATATCGTAAAAAGAAAGATCGAGATAATATT